AGGGTTTAAGGGAAATAGAGCCAAACTTCCAGATGCCTTTCTGTAGTAATCACTATTAGGAACCAACAAATAATAACAGCTTAATCACTGATAAATTATTACTTTATAGACACGAATGTACAAAATCTTATCGGACACTTATGATGATACTGGTCTTTGTGGTGATTCTGTGGGTACTGGACGAGGTTGTAATGAGCAGTAATGAGGTGGTGATTGTACAGGTGATGCTGGATAACTCTGGGGATAAGCAGGTGGATAAGGTGGAGGGTATCCTGGAAGGTAATAGTTGGGATCTTGCGAGACAGGATCTGTAGATGAATAAGGCGGGGGATGAGGTGTTGCTCCGTTACTCGTAGCACATCGATGAGTTTTTCCTGGATACGGCGTGGTCCCATTGGAGATCCCATTAGAAGTAGCACATTGTCTACGTGAAGTGGAAGGACCTGAAAAATTAATGTTATTTTTATGAAAGATGACCAGTTTCGTTTTTTTCTGTGCATTTACGTCTTTTCAGAATTATCCTACGGTATGTAATCCGCTAAGTATGTGTGTAAGAGAGAGAGACACAGAGAGAGTAAGAGAAATAGAAAGAGAGATAGAGAGAGAATGTGTGCGTGCGTGCGTGCATGTCTGTCTGTCTGTCTGCCTGTCAGTCTGTCTGTGTGCCTGTCTGTCCGTCACGAAATTCGCAGCTCCCGTCCCAGTAACAGTGAGACATGTTCCAAAAGGTGATGTAAGGGTGTGACAGGAACACTATTAGTAGGTGATAGGAAGTGATACCAGCTGATCAAATCTGTTAACAGGCGCTCGAATGGGAAGTTCAACTTATCCATTTTGCGGGTGAAAACACAGCTAGGTGTTGATTCCAAGATATGATATAGGGTCTGGGACATGGACATCATCGGTGAGTGACCAGAACTGTGAGCTGTTGATAAGTTTCGATAACGGGCGTTAGATAAGTAAGGTCACTCTACTTAGGTTCACGTGTGAGCGAGGCAGTGGTTCCAGCAGGTGATCTAGAGGGTGAGGTGGGGTCATCAACGGACATCAACAGACGAGAAAACCACAGCAACTGATAGAGGCTTGTAAGACGCTGCGGTGGCCATCGTTGTTCGAGGTGAAAGGAGGTTCCAAACAACCAAACTACAAATATTCAGTGACTACGACATTGATGACATGTGTTATGATTTGACTGAATAGGAATGACAATTAAATCTCTAACTACATTGCTACCACTTGTCACCACTATACTGACAATTATTGTAGGTTCATTTGAACTCTTCCCTTTCCCATCACCATGTCAATAGAATCAACCATTGAACTATCTTCTATCAGACGCATTTAAAGATAGTTGGCACGATAAATCCCTAAAGAGCAGTAGGATCAATACGCCTAGCAGGACGGGATTCCATCCCCCTGAGCAGATGCTGCGCAACGCCCGTTTTAAGCGACTCTCATAAAGGCCCTATCAAGCTACAGCATCCGACCCGAACGCCCACACGCCCGCCTGCGCACAAGTAGATGACCGTTCCTGGCGCTTGTTGATTCATTTGCTAAGCAAAAAATGAAGCGAAGTTATTGTTATGAAGTGGCGGCGGTGTTGCATAGATATATGAGTACAAACATGCAGCTGTACCTACCGTAGCGGGTACTGGCAAGATGCTCACGGGGAACACATCAGAGCTGTCATGGGTCAACACGCAGAATCCCTTATTCAGATTGCGTGGTCTGCAAGGCAGAAGATGTTCCGTTCTCGGCCGGTTATCTTGATAGGAGCTCTGCCACGCTCTATCGTCTGCGACTTTTCGTTTATCATTCACCCTCACTTTATCACATCGTTCTACAACCGCAGCGTAGCGTTCCAGTTTCCACAACTTGTGTATCTCTCCATGCATCGTCTGTCTCTCATTTTCATGCTTACTCTCTTTTTAACTTCCTCTTATTTTCCGATGGTGTGTCCTGCCGAATTCTAAAGTAAGCGCAACACGGACTGTCAAGCTACAGTGCAGTTCTCAGCGTACTGGGCGGTCCTAAGGCCATGCTGGCTAGCGGCCCGATATTTGCCTGTTGGTGGAAATCCTCAAAAACCTTGCCCCTGCGTCTCTTACTCTTCACCCTGCGCTCTAACACACGCCGCCGCACCGTCTACCCACTCCTCCGCTCTATACTCTTACATCGATAATTCCTCTATATCAGCTGATTCCTGCTGCATTTTCGCAGTATTTTTGCTAGATTCAGCTTTTTTAGAGCTGAAATTTTCCGACTTTCGGCTTCAGCAATTGAAGGTGAGTATTCTTACTGAAATTGAATCACAATTTGCATGAATTTAGCTTGAAATTCCCCTAGAAAACATTTTGTTCCTTCTGATTTCCTTCACTTCTTCACATTTTCTTCACAGGCGCCTTCGAGCTTCAGAACAGAGTCAGAGATGGTTCTCGATAATAACAAGACCACATCTGAAACACTACTTCGAAAACCCGTTCAATAACATAAAAGAAGTGGGGACAATAAGGAAAAATCTAGACGAATTGCGAAAATAAGAAGAAAAAAATGTTTTCTAGGGGAATTTCAAGCTAAATTCATGCAAACTGTGATAAAGTTTTGGTAAGTATACTCCCCTTCACGCTTGAAGCCAAAAGTCGAAAAACCTCAGCTTTCTCAAGCTGATTATGGCAGGAACGATGAAATGCAGGATTCGAAGTGAATCCGGCAGAATACTGTCCGCGTTCGCCATTTACCGATCGCCGAGAGTGCAGGACGAAGACAGTAGAGTAGTGGCGCGCGCGTGTGCAATCATGTAAGAAGAGGCAAGCAATTTCCACATTCTCGGCTTTCCATTCGACACGCAATCAGCGGAACGCTAGCCGGACCCGTGCTTCGGTAGGGAACGCGCCCTCACCGCTCCGCTTGACGCTCCACGTAGTCATCACCCGCGGATTTCCCTGATTCTAATACAGAGATAGCAACGAGTAAATTTCCATGTGGCTGTTGATGGAACGAGTTAACATTAACGATTTAAGGAAATATACCAGCAAGAATAAATAGAAAAAATGGGCTTCGCAGATGTACTCGCGAGTCAACGATTGAGTGGGAATGGTCAAAGAGCGTGAGCTGTCCGTCGTCGGAACCCCGGTCACCGGCTGTAGTAGTCTTTTCCGTCAGGACATGGTGAATGTGCGCGCAGGCCTCGGATAGGGATGGAAATTTCTTTAGCCGCATTCACACGGAAAACTTATTCATCATGTTGATTTGGAACTGATATAACGCAGTCGGAGACCCACTGCACTTGAGCACGGGCGTTCACGACGTAACGGTTGGAACCAACAGGTATCTTGTTTGGTGCATTTTAACGGTGTTTTCCCTTTCTTATTCGTTTTCCCCCTCTCCTATTTGTTTTCCCCTTTATTATTCACTCCTGAGTTACTTAGCATCTTCACATTCATATGGAATCTCACTGCCCATGGATGGCAATGCTAGTTCTTCCAATAAGTATGTTGCGCCTACAAATACTGGAAATGGTTTGTTCACAACCATTTTAACTTAGTGAAACCGTAGAATGGAGCGTATCCTTACCATGTTCATCTGTATCATCTTCCTTGGTAGCTCTCGTACAAAGGCAGCAAAGGCAACAAATTAGTATCGCAATGGAGAGAAACCTTAAATACAACACACACATGACACCCCAACAAATAAAATTCCTTTTTTCAATTATTATGCTGCATCATACTGTGCTATACTATGCACTGATCTATATCAGACTGTGCTGCGCAAAAGTATTCAACGTTGTGCTGCTCGATACAAAAACTGTAGAGCAATTGGGGGGCAGGCCAGCTTTCGGGACTAGGCGGCTTCTACATTCGCTCGATTGTCTAGGTGATAGCGCGCATGCGGAGGGAAAATGCCCGCCGCTCTATCTCGCACCCGGGTACTCTCCCCAATCCAAACTGGCACTCTCCGTTATTATATACTCTTTCTTCGTGTGAACTGGGATTCCCCCCCCTCTCCCCCCCCCACAGCACAACACACACATCACACACACACACACACACACATACATACACACACACACACACTTCCGAAAGAGAGAGAATTGTCAAAACGGCCAAAGTGGGTACTCCTTCACATATTTTCGGAATAGAGAGGGCATTCGAATCGGCTGTTCTTGCTGGAATCTACAACGAGGGCAGTGCCCCCTCCCCAATAGGCAGTATGTACTCTAATTTTTCCATGTACCACCTGACTGCAAATCATTGAGAACCCGTTGGTTGTTTGAGAGTTTATGTTATAGAGCAGTGTTTTGGTTGGGAGCCCCGTCCACTGCAGTACATTGCTTTCGATTCACCGCACTTGTCTTCCTTCCCAATTTTCTCCGCTCTGCGGGCTCACTTGGAGCTGAATTGCATTTTCGAAGTTTTCGTAGCAAGCATCGCCCATCTGTAGCTCGCCCTGCCCGATATGGGTGCGTCTTCCTCATTTCGTCCGACAATTGATTGCCTGCTATTTACCCGACTTTCCGCCTCTACCCGACTCCATCTGAAATCCGAATTTATGAATTTTTGCATTCCAGGTAGCAAGCACCGCCCATCTATCACACATATGTTTCGCACATACAAGTTCATGTCCCACCCATCCCACTCTTGATGCGGCCCCTCAAACTGGCTATAGAATGCCTCATTCCAGGACAGACCCACAGACGGACGCAGCCGTTTATATGGGAGGATTACTGTAATAGGTTCTGTTATAACATGCGTAGTATACTATATCTTATAGTATACTATACTGCGTAGTATACTATATCTCACTATTTTATACCCATGCTTCACCTGCATTCCATATCTCGGGGCAGGGAGGACGTGCCTGCGTACACGACGCGTAGGATTCTTTTCCATGGAAAATTACCATTCGGAGCAAACGAGCTCAGCACCTTACATAAAATTAAATACGTACCCTAACACAACCTTTACTAAAGAGTAGATCTGCATGCCTATGTCATCATCTGCATCCGGACAACATGCCTTTAGCCCGCAACACATTTGATTCGCTTTGCAGGTCCATTTGATAACTTCTGACGAGGTACTGTCGTGAGTCTGGAAATGTGACCGTACAAGCTCTTCATTTATAAACTGAATGCGCACGTAGAGAGTTGGTGAGGAGAGTCTACATCCTGACATCGCTATGATGCCAACAAGCAGGACTCGTCCAAGCACTCCCTTTCTTCTGCTCTTACAAGTATGGCGTTTTGGAACTTATTTTTACACAGTTTATCGACTTCTTCTGAGTTTATTCACTGTAACAAATTCACCTGACCTGAAACGATGCAGTGCATTGAACTCTTCTGTTGCCATGCAGTGACATTTTGCGCCAGCTAAAAACATAGCCTTCTCTTTTCGATCGCATTATAGCCATTTCAACACCTGAAATCTATTTTTTTCTTTTTCCTGCTGACTTGTGTGAAACTAAGAAAGGCACAAGGCGCAGATCGGCTTGGAGAAGAACTCTGAGTAGTTTCTCAAGCGCTGTAATGTTGCAGAAGACCTTGATGATGGGAACGTCCACACTGTGCTAATTTGGTGGCCATCAGGAAAGTTTTCTCCTTGTTACTCACTGATCATTGCCTCACATCGCTGGGAATTTGAAAAAAAAATCCCTTGTCAGCAGTGCACTTTTCTGCTCACGATCTACGTCCTCACTGGCAT